AAATTAAAATATAGATAAATAATAATTATAATAATTAAATGTGACCCTTAACAGCCTATAAATGTGGGGATAATCATTTCTCACTGCCCTCAAACCAAAGAGGCCCTCAAGGAGTCCCAATTCCCTTGCGCCTCTACTCCTAAGAATCCCCAACCAAACCACCATTTTTCTATTCTTCTGCGAGTCACTAGTGCCCTGCGCCCACCGCTCCACTCCAGATTTCCCATACGTTTGTATTATAAATATAATATACCACTATATATGTATGATCTTTCCTTTTAAGGTTTACCCTTAACATTTTCCACATTAATGCTCCGGAGCTAGCCCAACTCTCTCCAATGGCGGTGGCGGCTAAATCTCTGCTACAACTCTCTTCTCCTTGTTTCTTCAACTCCCAATCGAGTTTCATAGAATCAAGAAAAACACCGCGGTTGGCATGCCAGTCATCGAGAATCCTTGCGAAGCCGGTCAAGGGGCCAGGGAGTTTGCGGTTGTTGAGAAAGAGAGATGTGGCCAAGCAAGAGAGAGGGTTGGTGGTCAGGTGTACGGCGGATGGGATGGAAAGAAGGATGGTGATCGGAGCAGCGGCAGCTGCGGCGGCGGCGGCTGCAGGAGAGACAAAAGTGGTAATACCAGAGCGGTTGAAGGTGGTGGGTTTAGTGGCGTGTGTGATGTGCTTGTGTAATGCAGATCGTGTCGTCATGTCCGTCGCCGTTGTTCCTCTGGCTGACAAGTACGGTTGGTCCAACTCTTTCTTGGGTATCGTCCAGGTAATTACCAAATAATCTCTGTTTTTTTTTTTTCAATTTTTTATTATGAGAAAACAAAAAATGCAGGATAACCTTATTTTATCTTAGAAATATAAATGTTCTATTCCGTCCTATTTCATTTAATCTGTGGTTGTTGAGAAAGGGATAGGCGGTGGTTCGCCGCCGCCTAAAACTTTGAAAGGCCGGCGGACTGAGTTTTTTTTTTTTTTTTTTTAAACTAGTATAATTAAGGAATGAGGATTAGAATTGCTAGGTTTTAATTTTAAACTTTAAATTTTTAAATAAAATTATATTTTTTTTAAGAAATTATAGCCATTAAACCAGAATGGTGGTAGGTGGCGTCTGACTGAGTTGAAATGAGATTAAAGAAAAAATCCAAATCCAACCATAGCGGTCTCTAGAAAACCTAATATGGTAGTGGTCTGGTAGAAGTAAAACCTTTACCAACCTGACCCTCTGGGGCCCATTAGAGAACCGGATTCGTATTGCCTTAAAATGATGAGCCCATTATGACGTGGAGTCCATTTTCGTGGGGACGTGATGTGAAACCGTCAAATATATTTTGTCCATATCTGAATTTTAGTGTAACATTATTTTGTTTTATTCTTTCAGCTTTTATAACGAGGTGTCTCTAATGATTAGTTTTGTAATGTTTAAATTGTAAAAAAAAAATATATATTTTAATGATGTGAAGTAAAAAAATTGAATTGAATTTAACAATTTAATTGAGTAATTGATTATTAAAAAACAAATCAAAATTTAGGAAATCTTTTACATTAAAAATGTTACTAGAACAAAATCATTCCAAGGGCATAATTGACTAATCCTCAATTAAGACACTAATTATACATCTTATGTTAGAGATCGGATTTTCTCATTTTCTAAATTTAAGTGAAAATTATAATTAGATGAAAAATTACGTTTAATATTAAGAATTTATCTTTATCTAATCGTTATTGTTATATAATTCAAATTATACACATAATTGTTCATATTTTTTGTATGAAAAAGGAAATATTGGAAAGAGCTTTTCTTATTTTACCATGTTTTATGGTGTATACTGATAATTTTGTTTATTGATGTTATGTTACGAAGTCATCCTTTCTGTGGGGATACATATTCTCGTCGGTGATTGGAGGGGCACTAGTGGATAGATACGGCGGCAAAAGGGTGCTGGCTTTGGGTGTGGCTCTGTGGTCTTTGGCCACCCTTTTGACTCCATGGGCCGCAAACCACTCCACCGTCGCTCTCTTGGCGGTTCGCGCATTTTTTGGGCTGGCGGAAGGCGTAGCTCTGCCCTCTATGAGCACCCTCACCTCCAGGTGGTTTCCGACCCACGAAAGAGCTAGTGCAGTTGGAATTTCAATGGCAGGATTTCATCTAGGCAACGTCGTGGGATTGGTCCTCACTCCTATCATGTTGTCGTCGATTGGAATCTCCGGTCCTTTTATTCTCTTCTCATCTTTTGGACTTCTATGGTTGTCCACCTGGGTGTACAAAGTTACAAGTGATCCCCGAGACAGCCCTTTTGTGAGCCAATCGGAGCTCCGGTTGATCCAGGCCGGAAAAACAGAGTCTCCGACGGGAAATGGTGGCAAGTTTCCACCCCTGCGCCTCCTATTATCTAAGTTACCAACATGGGCAATTATATTTGCCAATATGACCAACAATTGGGTAAGTTTTGTCTCATTATCATTTTCTTTTACAAAATTTTAAATCGGCAACTAAATTCTATTATATAACAACCATTCAAAAATAGTGACATGAGTGTGCTTAATTTAATTACAGGGATATTTCATTCTTCTTTCATGGATGCCCGTTTATTTCAAGACTGTAAGTGGTTTATTACTGAATTAAACTTAACCTTTGTTATTAATGGATCAGAATGCTCTTTTATAGTCTGAACTGTAAGAAAGCAACCATTGGTGGGTGAGGATGGCCTTACATTTAAGGCCCTCATGATTAGTTTTATACAGTTTGGTGCAATTCAGAATTGTTCAAAACATTTTGTTAACTGAATGTTATTCCTCATATTTAATTTCTGCCTAATGGATGAATGTAGGTGTTTGCTGTGAACTTGAAGCAGGCAGCCTGGTTCAGTGCGGTTCCATGGGGGACAATGGCAGTGTCTGGTTACATTGCCGGTGCGACCTCAGATCGCTTAATCAAGGCTGGCTACTCCATAACACTAGTCCGAAAGATCATGCAATCTATAGGTTTCATGGGTCCTGGAATTTCATTACTCTGCCTGAATTTTGCGAAGTCCCCTGTGGTAGCTGCTATACTAATCACCATAGCCCTGAGTCTCAGTTCTTTCAGTCAAGCCGGATTTCTTCTGAACATGCATGTAAGTTCCATTTTCTTGAAACAATCCATCAATAGAGGAAAAAAAACTGCCTTCAATTTCTGATGTAGTTTTTCTTTGGACAATTGTACAGGATATTGCTCCTCAGTATGCAGGATTGCTTCATGGTATGTTCTTTTAATGCATATATGTCCTTCTTTCCTTTATTGAGTTTCAATCCAATACTTAACGTTTCTCCTCCTTTTCCATTGAATCAGGCATATCCAATTCAGCTGGAACATTGGGTGCAATAATCAGCACGATCGGAACGGGTTATTTTGTAGAATGGTTGGGATCTTTCCAGGCATTCCTCACTGTAACAGCATGTCTCTATTTCGTTTCAACCATATTTTGGAACCTCTGTGCCACAGGGGAGAGAGTCTTCTAACCTTAATTTGTCTGAATAATCTCCCTTCTGGGTTTATTCTAAAAAGATTGGGTCATTTTTAGGTATGAATGATTCAGTAGTACAGTGAATGAACATTTATCAAATAAATGTAGTTCGTTCATGGTTCTACATTTGGCAATTGGAAAATGTAAATCTACCATTTTTTTCCCCCAGTGATCCATTCTGGGAAGAAAACATTAGGCAAGCATGAAGTTACCTATTCCACTGAGATGAGGAAATGCAAAATTAGATATCCAAATGCTTAACGCAAATGATTGATTTAATTTATATGGTTGCCCCCCGAAGTTAAATTTACAATCTCTTTGGTTTGGCTTCTGGCGCTTTGCAAGCAGTAGAAATAGAACATCATATTTCTTCAAGATTACGGGAGCTAATATTTCAC